GCTGATTATCGAGCCTTCATTGTAACAGTCGCGGGTTTACTGTGTGTTTGCGTGTGGGGAGTTTTTTTGTGCGTGCTCTATAGTGCCCGTAATAGTGTGGAGTGGCTTCGTAAGAAGCAGCATTTCAAGGTCCTGGAGTGGCCTAGCCAGTCTCCAGATCTCAACCCCATAGAAAATCTTTGGAGGGAGTTGAAAGTCCGTGTTGCCCAGCGACAGCCCCAAAACATCACTGCTCTAGAGGAGATCTGCATGGAGGAATGGGCCAAAATACCAGCAACAGTGTGTGAAAACCTTGTGAAGACTTACAGAAAACGTTTGACGTCTGTCATTGCCAACAAAAGGTGTATATAACAAAGTATTGAGATTAACTTTTGTTATTGACCAAATACTTATTTTCCACCATAATTTGCAAATAAATTCTTTAAAAATCAGACAATGTGATTTTCTGGATTTTTTTTCTTCATTCTGTCTCTCATAGTTGAGGTATACCTAGGATGAAAATTACAGGCCTCTCTCATCTTTTTAAGTGGGAGAACTTGCACAATTGGTGGCTGACTAAATACTTTTTTGCCCCACCGTATATATTTCCTGTCATCCCACAATCTCCTTCACTCTTAATTTCTTGTAAGTGCTCGTTGGGTTTATAACTTGTAAATACAAAACTGACATAAAATTGAAAAAAAACTTTTATTGAAAAAGAAATGTAAACTTCCGTCACAAGTACAAACTAAAATATGCCCTGGCCTTCACATTGAACTAAATATTGCACCAACAACACAAAGTCTAAATAATTAGTCTATTTTTTTTTACATCTTGCCAAGCCAACAAATGCCCCTGACAGCAGAGACTCTGAACTGGTAGACAGGTGATCTGTAAGTCATTAAAAAAGCGGATCACCACTGTATAAATCAAACTGATCAGGACAGCTATGCATAGCAATGAGCATCTGTGTGTAAATTAACGCGTCAGAGTGAGAGGGTCCTGTCCTAGAGCAGGTAGAAGTCAAACAGCTGTCAGGGGAACCAATTAAGCTCATGTTCCACTGCCATCCCACAGCAACACACACCAATGTTGTGTTTTCACCCCTAAAAAGTCCGTCTACACTCAAGTTAAGCCGTTTAGCCTACAGCGTTTGTGAATATTTGAAAGCATTGCCGGAGGAAGAGAACGAGGCTGGCATTTCTCCTTCAAGAGAAGTGTCCAGGTACCCTGGTGGCAGACGGCTCTGTCTGAAAACATGACGGGTAAAATACACAAAAGTCCCTCTGAGTCTTTGTAACTGCCTTTCTGTTAAATAAACTCTCCTCCACGTTTTCACAGCAGGTTTAGCTTTTCAAGTAACCGAAAGGTGGATTAAAAGAAGGACCTAAAAAATACAGATTCTTCTTAAAATAATCCTCTGGCACTAACATCTGGTAGGCCTATACATCTTTCCGAGATAAAAAAATAACATTGTGACAACTCAGTGGAATAACACTCACTTAATGACACTTTTTTCATCATATTAACTGTACAAATTGTTCAAAAAAGATTAACAAACAAAATTAAAATCTAACGAATGAAGAATAAATGTAAAACTCACGTAATTGATTTGAATTTAACATAATAGAGCTACCTCCCACACACTTCTTAGTGCAGAAAAAGCAGCCCGCATCCAACAAGGAGAGTTAATGAGGAACATTGGATCCTGTGACATACTGGTATACACACAATGTGCCTATTATTGCAATAACCCCGTTAAAAATTCCAATGCAGACTACCAGCTGTAAGCTTTGGCCTTAACAAAGACGTTCTGCTGCAACACAATGAAGTACACTATGAAACTCCTCATTAAGCCTTGCCCAGGGCCTGTATTAACCCTGCTACAACCTGCCAGGGATTAAAATCACATACTGTACAATTATCATTAACAGTGTCCTGTTTACCTTTTATGCACCACTCGCCACACTGTGTACAGTCAGAGGGACTTTTGCAAACTTTTTAAAGCACCAACATCAAAGTATAGTGCAGCAACACCAACAGTCAGGTTTTCATGAGTTTTAAGGAGCAGATGTGAGCCACCTTGTCTGAAACAAAGACTACAATGAACATCATAAAAGTTTAAATAAAACATTGACCTTTGCTGGAAAAGAGCCGAAGCAATTTCACACTGGCAAAGCTATTCTTAGAAAGTGTGGTTTGTAGAGCCGATGAATGGGAGTCGGAGGCGGCGCGTTGAGTAGCCTACTATGGAACTCCACACTTTATTTTCCATTAGTTACAGAAAGGTAGGAACAATTTCATTGCATGCTACTCAAGCTAGAATGATAACCAAACACAGGTTTGCTACCTAACAGGTCCGTGGCGCAACACACTCTCTAAAACACAGCGAATTATGTCCCGTAATGTTCCACCACAGGTTACTGTTTAGGATGTCATCCAACTCAATTGATCATGAGACTACGTGTGTTTGGGGATCTGAAAGGCTTGCTGCGACCGCTATTTCCTGGGGCAAAATCCTAAGTAAATCATAAATAACTCAACCCTGCTATCTGAATATCAAAGACAGAATATTTGTGTCTTTACACAGTATCGCTCACTTAACTCACTACGCGTGCATACTGCTATCATGTAAGTACACATCTTTCCAAATACATTTATGTAAATTACAACATCTCGAAATGATTGCTGTTCTAGACTCAGCAGACAAACACTGCACCACGAAAGGTTTAAGTGATTAGCAGCAGGAAATGTCTACCTTCCGACTGACATATGGGATTATTTGCCCCCGAAACATAATGGAATAGCCTATATTTGTAATTAAAGGACGTGTATGCTTAGGGTTATAGATAATTCCAAGACATTTTTAAAGAAGTCATAAGTAAAATAAATACTGTTCAGTGCAGACTGTGAGCTTAAGGTTGGCAACGGGTGCAGCAGCCGTGGTAAACATAAAAAGGAGCTCAAAAGAAAAAGTGTTTATTTGATATGAAGAACAGCAAAGCAAGCTCTGACGTACAATCCTTTGATTTTGAAAATGATGATGATATATAATATATTATTAAAGAGAGGAATAACCAAGTCACTAGCTGTTTGCATGATATAAATAATATTTACATATCTAAAGCTAATTTACATTATTATTTTGCAGTGAGGGGAAAAACCCCCAAACAACAACAACAACAACAACAACAACAACAAACCAATCAAGAATTACGTATTTCTTAAATCCTGCTCAGCCCATAACCCCTTATAAGGCCCAAATCATGACTGTTTCATCTCTAAGCATAACAAAAATAACAGCATAAAAATACAACAAAAAACGAAAAACTCAGCTAGTACAAGAAGTTAAATCATAAGTCATAACAATCCAACAGCAAGATGGTAAAAGATCAGCCAGCAGCCTCGTAGCAGCACACAGCCACACAATATGCAGTAAGCACAAACCGCAGAGACTTACGGCGGAAGAAAAACATTTTGGTCCCAGGCTGCCGACGATATCCAGAGAAAACTCCGCTTCCGGGTTGAAGTTGCGTTTGAAATTCTCCTGAAAGTGCATGTTAACAGGCGAGCGTGTGTATAGGAAATATTAATTAATTGAAGCAACAGTTTTCTGCAGCATTGTTAGTAGCAAAGTAAGCTAAATGAGCATGGCAGCAGAGTACAAGTTATTTAGGAAAAGTAATTATTCAGTAGGCCGCCATTTTGAAAATATGCTATTGAAGGAAGCTCATCTCAAAATCTCCTAACTGATTGGTTGCCCAATTAAGTGGCGAGAGAGAGAGAGAGAGAGAGCATTCAAATAACTTTATTGACATCACCATATAGACTTTTTTTTCCAATGCAAAAAATGTAAAAGGTATCTAAACATGTCCATAACTATACATGTTTAACAGTATTAAAAACTCAACATTTAATCAAATTAACCTGCGGCACTAGTGTTGGCTTGACGCTTCCACTATCAAATGTAGCATACAAACAATACATTCATTTCATGGTGCAGACATAATAAAACAAATAGTCTTTGGTGTAAAACATTATGAATGTTTAATGAAGAGCTGCATTGCAGAATATAAATGTGTGATAAAAGAGGATTTTCGAGGTGAAATGAAAAGGGAAACTGAAGGATTTTACCAGCCTGCTGTTAGAAATACTCAATAGCATACATTTGCATAATTGAAGAGCACCAATTTTATAATGTTATCCTGTCTTTTCCTCAATATTATCCATAAAGTGACTCCAACAAACTTGTGTTCTCAGAGGTAGCAACATGCAGCACTCTAACATTACACAGTGAAAACTTGCAGCATATTTGACAGTTTATGATAAAAGAGCCTGGCTTCCTTTCAAAGTGAGAAACCTTTTGCATCTCCGACCTTTTTTAACCCAAAGTTAACGATAGTATCACACTACTCCTTGCGCTTGGCAGGCTGATATCCACCCATCGCCTCTGAAGCTTTTAACCTCATTAGTATGTGGACTATATGCAAGGTGTACAGAGACTGTATATAATGTAATGAATAGAGATGGGTTATGCTTGATGAACAATGCCTTTTGCTATAAGACCTAAAAGCAACCTCTTACAGAATTTCCGTAAAAGTGCCTCTGTGACACGCAAGCTATAAGGCTGTGTGAATAGGAAAAAGGTGTTGGTTTATAAAAAAATGTACACAAGAAAAACAGACCAAACCACATTAGTTTCACAATCATACTTTATTTCCAGAAATAAACCAGTAGACTGTGAAAACAAGGGAAAAAAGTAAGAATGAGGTTTCTCATCTTCAACTGAGGTCAGCAGCTTCATGTTTGTAAGCGTTGACAACGGTCTATCCGGATCAATACACAACGTTAACTGTGAAAGAAGTACCTCACCACAGGGATTTCACCTGTGGCCTCTCTTTCATGGCACAGCACCATATTATGCTCTGATGTTTGACATTTTCCGTAAACCAGCTGGAGGTTATTAGTCTAACATGCAAACAATTTTGATGGAAACAACATTTTAAAGAAACGTAAACGGTGACATTTGGCCACTTACAGAAGGTTAGCTGAAACACCCTTGTTAGATTTTTGGTTCAACCTTTATCGCAGTCTCACATGGCTACTTAGAAAATAGAATACCTTTGCAAACAGACACACACTGGGAAAAGGAAAATAATATTAGAAATCAAAAATGTATTTCAAAACCAAGTATCTTCAAATCCAGTTCAATGTTCATTCAGCATTAACAAATAATGTCATATAAAGTGCTTAAAATTAGAATTTAAAAAAAGCTTTATTAGCTTTTTAACCATTTGCATAAAAGGTTGCAAAAAACAGTGTAGCGCTCCCTTACGTTTCAGCTTCAAGACATTATTGCACAGTATACAGGAGACAGTGCTTAACGGCTGTAGTAGTTTTATAGTATTATGAATGTGATAACACAATGACACTGCATATTATGGAGATATAAATAGATACAATACATGGCAGATTTGAAGCAGTGGACTGTGCTGTGTCTGATGGGAAATGTAATGCAACACAGTCAAATATAAGAGAGTTACTCCAAAAATAAGCAAAGGCATTTTTGCAAGTTTGACTTTAAAACCGTCAACAGGAGAAGTTAGAAGATGGCCACAAAACAACAGCTCCTCATTATGTTTTTTTTACACATGCATTAACTCATTGTGTTTTTGGCATCTTGAAAGCAGCGGACACCAGCTGTAGACCCAGAACAACAGATTGAAACCTTATACAGTTTATAGGGTCATTTTGTTAGCAAACAATAGCTTGTAATATTTAGTCATTCACTAATTTGGAGTCATGTTTGTGTCCAAGTGTGTTCAGCTCGATTGTAACTTAATTTTTCTCTCTGTCGTATGGTTTTGGCCAGGTAGGATACAGTAGGTTTTCCACTGGAAACAGCTGCCTGCTCCATCTGGAAATGACCTTGATGTACATTGAAAGAGGCTAAAGTCATCTTTCAAGCCGAGGGGACCTAGAGATTTACAGTAGGGGGTAATTATCTGTGGGTTTGTAAAAGCAGCTTCTTATACATCTGATATGTTGTCGAAACACAAATACAGATTATAGCAGGTGCAAATATGCCCCTGTGTTTTGTTCTTGCATTAATGGATAATGTGAGTTTGGTGCTCATTAAGAAGTAATAATATAGAACAACCTGGGTGCTTTTTCCTGTTGTGCAATGCAGTTTAAAAATGTGTGAGTCACAAAACGAAGTGAATCAAGATCCCGCATTAGAATCGATCCAAGTTGCTACAGAGAGCCCAGTTGTGGTTTTGTTATAGCAAAGCTAGCAAGACTGATTGTCTCGAATGCTAAACTGAGCAGGGGCATTGATTGGGAGATAGGGAATACAGCACAGGGAGAGAAGGATGACAGTGTCCCGCTTCCCTGGCTTCATCTTTCTCTCACACACTCTCAAACACCACAGAAACACTGGCAGTCAGAGGTGTTTGGAGACACACACACACACACAAACAGATGCACAAACATATAGCGGGAAACATTGACTTCCTGTTTGGCATAACTAAGCAGTTAGTGAGCAATTCTCCGGACCACGGAGCCCGCACACAAACATGTTGAGTATTCTGTGTCACTCTCCTCTCTTACGCAAACCTTCACGACATTTTATAGACATTCACAAGCAGAAACGTCTGCCAGCTTACCCTGATCATAGCACATTCACCATTTCATCTCATCATCTATTAGTCTTTGCTCTCTCTTCACGCTCCGTCTTCTTTCTCATCCTCTCTATATACGTTCTGTCTCTGTTTTCACTCAAATAAATGGTGTTTTTCTTGGCTTCCCTTTCCAGTGTTGACTGCTTGGCTGGTTTGGCACAGTGTTGAATCGTTCCAACAGGTAAACACGCTTTATCAGCCACATGGATCCACATTTCCAGCCTCGACCCATTTCCAGGGTAATCCAGGGAGTGCCACCTTTTCCTTGGCTGCAGAGGACAGATGGATCAATGTGTACTTGGCGAGCTCATTTTGTGAAAACTACCAAAACAACACTTTTAAGCACTTTACTATAGAACGCAGGCCCATTTGTTTGGCTACCAGGAAGTGTGAACTGATGTGTCTCTGAGTTTTGTGTCTCTTTGAGTTGTATCAGAGTTCGTGTGCGTGTGCGTCAATGTATCTTGTGTGTCCGGATGTGTACGCGTGTTATATTTCTGTGTGTCACTCTCTCTCTCTTCCCGTCTCACTCCGTCTATGTAGGGTGCATTATTGGACGCAGTAGACCGGACAGTGCCAGAGGCGTACACCAAGCGGTCACGCGGCGTGACAGAGAAGGGAGCTGAGTTGCTGTCAGAAGGCCTTTTTAACACACTGCTGCTCTCCGTTCGGGGACATTTTCGAGAGCGTTTGACTGCGAAAAGGGCTCCGCAAAGGAGAGATCAACACAATTCTCCAAAGCTCCAACAGAAACACCGCTAAAGCCCCAAAGGCTCCCTACCTGAAAATAACACACTAATACCTTTGATGTTCCCAAAGAGATGTGCAAGAGAGCGAGAGGAGGAGAGAGACAGGGGACACACACACACACACACACTCATACTCACACAAACTCACGTTCAGTATACACACCAGGCAGCAGCTTCACACATGTAATGAGTTCCTGTAAGCTGATCTTTACATGTGTGGGTCATAAAGGGGAGACAGTTCAAGAACGAAGCAAGCATTACACAAATGCAAAAAAAGGTTGAATTGACCCTTTTCTCACATTACTGGAAATGTTGCGTGTTCTTTTTTTTTTTATTAGGACAAGGATTCAAATACTTCATCCATCCATCCATCCATCCATCCATCCATCTTCTCCCGCTTATCCGTGGTCGGGTCGCGGGGGTAGCAGTTCCAGCAGAGAGCCCCAAACTTTCCTTTCCCTGGCCACATGAAATACTCATATATAATAAATTAATTTTGTTACATGCTTTTCTCCTCACTCAGGTCACACATAATGTTCCCTGGTACTCTTCACTGTTTTCCATCTCTAAAGTAGCTCTAAAATAACTGCTCCACACTGTTAGTACTGTGTGTGTTCGCAAATATGAGTAAAGCCTAGGTCGTACCTGAGCACACTTAAGTGCGAGTGCTTTTGTACGCCGCTCTCTCAACTAAATGACGAAACCATCATCTCCACCGCCAGCATGATACTGTTATTTATAAGCCTATATTCCCGTCTGAGATGGATTAATTGCACACAGAGGGTGTGAGTTGCAACTGAAATAAAAACATGTATGCACTTCACCTCCATGTCTGTCATTTCTCACCTCCATACATACACTCTGGCACATTTACAAAAACACCTTTTCTTTCTTGGAGTGACAGCTCCAGAGCACTTTGACACATTTGTTTTTCAAACCAGCCCCCATGCCACTTCTGCTTTTATGTTATCCTTCTTTTTACCACTTTATATGTTTGCCTCCATCTGCCTCTGGGTCTTCTATTACACTGAAAAGGTCACATTTATGTCCCCTCCATGTCTGAAACCAAATGCACCTGTGTTTCAAAGGGCTCAGCTGTGAACTTAAACTTTTAAACTTCATAACAGCCAGCGGGTATACAAAACTAAAGCTGTCCCCTGTGAATGGTAACACTATTATTCATTCATATGCATGCGCAAGGCTTGTTAAATGGACGCTTCTTCTTTCATCAATCCCCCTGAATCTGAAAACTGTCACATACCACTATGGAAGATAAGATCCTGCTCATACTTTATTTAAATCAGTTAATCATGTGGGAGTTGTAGATGTGAATGCCGCAGTCACAAAACCAATGTCAGTGACACAGGTAGTCCCTGATTGGTCCATGTGGGTTAATGAGCTCAGTGTATGTTCTTGTGACATCCAAAAGGAAAAACACTGACACTGTTATAATGTCTAAGGGGGGTAGGGGGTGAATATCAATGTCAGAGTGAATCCTGTTTTAAGTTCTGACGGGTGAGATTAGGCTCCTCAGGGAATCTTTGGCTTGGGGAGGCCTGAGCGACTCAAAGGGATCAGGATCCTGGCAGACCGAGGGTCTCTGAGTGTCCCCTGATTGGGCTCCTCCAGGCTGGAGTGGAAGCCCCGCGGATCACTGAAAGGCTCCGATGCTCTGCGAGGCTGAAGCAGTGAAGTGCGACAGAGACTTAGAGACTGAACCTGGGGTCCAGCGTTAAAGCAGGGAAGGCCTCTAGACGGAGGGGGCAGCTGCTTGGTCCGGTTAGCCAGGGGTCCTAAAGAGCAGCCTGGCTTCAGAGAGGCGAAGCTACCAGTGCCCCCTGGCTTGAGTGCGGGAAGAGACACGCGCTTGTGAAGGCGAGGGGGCTGCAGCATGCGAGGGCTAGAGGAACCAGCAGATTTAGGAGTGACAGAGCTCTGCGAAATCACAGCGGGTGCCCCACCTCCACGCTGCGCTGCAGACTGAGCTTCTGATGCTGCACTGTCACTGGCAGAGACTCCCTGTGGAGCTGCAGGACGTAGGTGGGTGCGGAGGAGACGAGGCAGCCCGTCGGGGTCTGCCGGCCCAGACACATCTGCCACGGGGTCATCAGGAGGACGACAAGCATCATTGTCCGTTCCTTCTTCCTCTGATCTACTCCTTGTGAAGTCACTGCGGCCCTCGGTGGGGGGAGTTTTTACTTGTCTTCCCTGGTGGAGGTGCTCGTTGAGGCAGGGGTTGAAAGGCTGAAGTATTTGAGGCTGTAGAAAGAGAAAAGATCAAATTGAAATGTTTAGAAGATGGGTATAAAATAGCCAAGGAACAGTCAGGGTATTAAGAGGTACAACTGGTTTCTTTCTGATTGATTGATTGATTGATTGATTGATTGATTGATTGATTGATTGATAGACTCCCAGCTTTTAAATATTCTGCTGCTTCAAAATGTATTCTGAATCAAAGAGCACATCAAAAAAATCTGCCTTTTTATGATGTGTCTACTCTTTAAAATCGTATCCTGTGTCTACTGCCAGTCACTCAACTACTACACTGCCAATGGGAGAGGCAAAGTCACAGAGGAAGCCCTGATTCAGCAGATAAAAACAAGCTGAGGAGAATAACCTTGCCATGCGAAAGCCCGGGATCTACTGAAGTCTTTGACTCGTTCTGTGATCGCTGCCGCAGAGGGACTCCAAAATATAAGAGCTATGATGCCTGCTGCCTGTGTCAGAACGTGCTGAGTCGTTAACCACATGAAATGTAGACCAACCGTGGTGTTGTCCTCCACCAGGGGACACACAGGGAATGAGCACAAAATCATAAACACCTGAACATTATAATGCCATTCTTAAACAGCCCTGTAACAATTACCGTCTCAGTGAAGCTTATTATGTTCAGTAGTTGTTGTGCAAGACAGCTGCTAATTATCCAGTGCGACGAAACAACAAACTAGGGCTTCAAAAGAGTTGAGTGAAACCTCTCTGACAGAAACTCATTATGACTTAACAGAGTTAGTGTTTGTTTCAACAGCACAAAATGGATTGGATTGGTTTCAATTGCACATGTTACATTTAAGATTTAAGATATCACCAACACGGTAAGCCTGAATGATGTATAGGAATATAAAATAGCTTTAACCTTGGTCACAACAACTTTTCTGCATTACATTTCCAGATAAGCAGCGGAGTAGAACGCCAACGGTGCTTATTAGTCCAACCGACAGCAAGAGATGCTCAAATCAAAAAAACTAATTCAATATTGATGTGAATATCTTAAAATGTATAAGAGTACATTTTCTGAATTGTTTATGACCTCAACATCTATACAAATCTGATATACTATATCTTATGCTAGTCTGCTAGTTGGAGACAGGCTACTTTAAGGCGTACCGACGGCACTTCTGCCAGCTTTTTACTGGACTGGCCTTTTTCCATCAATGTCCTTTGAGCAGAACATAAAGTATCCAAATCCACCTGGAACCATCTAAAGCTACATGAAAGCCTGAACTCACTTTTAGCAGAAACATACCCTCTGTGAGTTGAAAGTATAAAGATCTGTGAGGGTGTGAATATATAGCTGTGCAGGTCAAGCTACTCTGCTCGTTTCTACCATCAGTCATTAATATTGTATGTGGGAGTGAATGACCGAGGCCACAGCTCCATCTCCTGGTCCCCTGCCACAATGCCTCCGCTGGCCTCTTGCAAAACCCTTGTCCACTTCTCAGCGTCTGTTTGTTCTTCAAGCAATGCAATACTGATATTCGTTTTTTAAAGTCTGTAATTTAAAATGCTCCTATATAAAGAATGGTTATGTTGCTTTTCACAACAGCTCTGATTAGTCTGTCACTCAAATCATGGCTATGTTATCAAGATGTTTCTATCTATATGTTATTTTCCTTTCAGACACAGTTCAAATCTTAACTGCTGAACGCCATAGTTCAGAAACAATATACAAACATTTCAACATTTCACTGATTACAGTGATAAGAAAGTAAATCAGAACCAATCATCATTATAGATAGGACTTGTACTATTTTTCAGTTTAGATAATGTTGTTCCTGGGAAGAATACTGACTGAAATGACCATTGTCATATTGTAAGGCTATAGGGAAATAATGACATTTTCTTATTAAGAGCTTTGCATTGGGTGCATATATGTATAGCTGGCGCATCTGGAGGAAGCCTCTGACAGTGATGGCATCATGCAGGATCTATAGGCTTACAGTCGGTAATCATTGGCGTATACAGCTGTCTGCTACAGATACTAATAATTAGCAGCAATCCTTTTTGAGCGCTTCCCTGCACTGCAATGAAGTTAATATCTCAGCCCACTAATGATATCTATTACTCGAATAGAAACGTTCTTTCTAAACAAGAAAGATGTCAATGTGAATCTTTGAGATGTCAAGCACACTATTACCATCTCATCTCCAGCCTCTTTCACTGTGAAAAATGGCCGTGTAGGGTAAATTATGTAAATGATCCCTGTTACGTCTATGGTAAGACAATGAGATTGCAGCACATAAGGAGATAAGAGTGGCAATATGGAGGCCATCCATTTAAAAGAAAGATTAGACTTTGCATAAGCATTAATATCCGTGGTCGTGAACATTCTGGTTTGGATTGTGTTCAAGTTTAAGAAGTAGAAATAGTGTGAGCGCATAAGGTGTATAATCACTATGATTTGTGTTGAGCTTGCTTTGCTTAACTGCTTTGATAGGGGAGTAAGCATAAAGGAAATTGCTAAGCAGTAATATGCATTCACGTGCCAACACACAGGATATTCTTAAATGGTATCGGTTTCAAACCACTAAATCCTTCATGGCGGACACCTAGAATTAACAAAGCAACTGGTCAATTGATAAAAATACAGCAAAGAAAGACTTACCCATGCATGCATTTCTTTTTGTTTATATGTATTTGATAGAAGGCAAAAAGGAAAAAGACACCAAAAACCAGGTAAATTAAAAGTGAAACATTTGAAACTAAACAAAGAATCACAGCGGATTTCACTAAGAAGAGCAAACCAAAGTGTAGATACAAAGGCTCAAAAAGTTAAAAACAATGGAAAATCCAACCCAAAGCATGCAGACGCAGATTTAGAAGAAGCATGCTTCAGTCGTGCGCCATGACGCCAAACCACAGCCCAGCGTGCAGGAGGCGGGGGGGGGGGGCAACCAGTCAACTGCATGTTAAAGAAACGTTACTGTACCACGCCACGTCAGTGAAGTACTGCACTAGGTGCTCCACTCCTTGTCACAGGCATTAATTGTGGGGAGGCAAAGGTATAAAGAGAGAGAACATGGGAGATTCGATTTAATTTAATGACAGAGATGAGATAAGGAGAAGAAAGGGTTGAGGGACAGGAAGAGTGAGAGAGAGAGGTAGTGATGTGCAGGAGGAGAGAAAGAGAGAAAACAGCAGACACTTATTGGGGTTAAAACATTTAAAATCCAGTATTAACTTC